CCGAGAGAATGACTCATGGTGTGTGATGGGTCCTACTTCCAATTGCCCAGGGACTTGGCAATTGCTGAAGCCATCCTGGACTCAGTGCAGAGCAGGGAGCAGGGAGGTAAATGGGAAAGAGGTTTTTCCCCAAATGGGGTGTTTTTGATCCATGCAGTAGGCCAGATGCAAGTACTTATTTTTTGCTGATCAAGAGCTGTTTCTCACTGGTTCTGGATGGCTGAGTAGCCTGTCCTCTGCTGGGTGTCTCCTGATGTGGAAAACACCTCCCAAGTGCTGCTGTTTTCCCCACCGCGAACCATGAGCTGATCCGGCCTGAAGGGCACCAGCTCCTGCTGGGTCAGGTCTGGCAACTACTTCCTGCTTCTGAACTGTCTCTCCCTCCCCCTGCCACTTATCTGATTCCTCAAATTTGCCTTTGATGTTCAGGGCTCCTAGATTGTCATATATAATCGATTCACTTGTTTTTTTGGGTCTTTGTTGTAAGAGGGACCTCCAGAAGCGTCTGACTACTCTGCCATCTTGGCCCTGCCTCCTTGTCTGATTTCTTGACAGCTGCTTCCATGGGCGTTGATTGTGGATCCAAGTAAAATGAAATCCTTGACAACTTTAATCTTTTCTCCATTTATCATAATGCTGCTTATCGGTCCAGTTATGAGGATTTTTGTTTTCTTTGAGGTGCAATCGAAACTCAAGGCTGTAGTCTTCTGATCTTCATCAGTAAATGTTTCAAGTCCTCTTTGCTTTCAGCAAGCAAAGTTGTGTCATCTGCATATCACAGGCTGTTAATGCGTCTTCCTCCAATTCTGATGCCACATTCTTCTTCATATAGTCCAGCTTCTCAGATTATTCAACATACAGATTGAATAAGTATGGTGAAAGAATACAACCCTGGCACACAACTTTCCTGACTTTAACCCATGCAGTATTCCCTTGTTCTGTTCGAACGACTGCCTCTTGGTCTATATACAGGTTCCTCACGAGCACAATTAAGTGTTCTGGAATTCCCATTCTTCACAATGTTATCCATAATTTGTTATGATTCACACGGTTGAATGCCTTTGCATAGTCAATAAACACAGGTACTCATCTTTCTTATATTCTCTACCTTTAGCCAAGATCCATCTGACATCAGCAATGATATCCCTCATTCCACGTCCTCGTATGAACCTGGCTTGAACTTCTGGCAGTTCCCGTTGATGTACTGCTGCAATATAGATGAGTGAGTACCTCCAGTGCATCCATTTGTTGAAACATCTCAATTGGTATGCCATCAATTCCTGAAGCCTTGTTTTTTGCCATTCCCTCCAGCGCAGCTTGCACTTCTTCCTTCAATACCATAGGTTCTTGATCATATGCTACTTCCTGAAATGGCTGAATGTCAACCAATTCTTTTTGGTACAGTGACTGTGTATTCTTTTCATCTTCTTTTGATGCTTCCTGCATTGTTCAATATTTTCCCTGTAGAATCCTTCAATATTGCAACCTGAGGCTTGAATTTTTTCTTCAGTTCTTTCCGCTTGAGAAATGATGAGCATGTTCTTCCCTTTTGGTTTTCTAACTCCAGGTCCTTGCACATTTCATTTTAATACTTTACTTTGTCTTCTTGAGCTGTCCGTGAAATCTTCCATTCAGCTCTTTTACTTCATCACTTCTTCCATTCGCTTCAGCTACTCTACGTTTAGCTATGCTGTTTCTACTGATAGAAACAATTATTTTTGCAGTTAACATTACATAAATATATATTTAGTTATCTACTAAAAGGTTTCTATGTAGAAAGCAAAGGCAAGAAGACTGAGAAAATTCTTGAAGGTGAAACTTTATATATTATGTATACAGTTTCTACCTTTATTTTTCTTTCACTCTGACTTCCTTCTTTTTCCTTTCTTTCTTTTTGATTTTAAAATTTTACTGTATTGTATGTATTATTGAAGGAGCACTGATGGCACAGTAATTAAGTGCTCAGCTGCTACCTGAAAGGTCAGCGGTTTGAACCCATCAGCTGCTTTGTGGGAAAAAGATGTGGCAGTAGGCTTCCATAAAGATTTACAGCCATAGAGACTCTACGGGGCATTCTATTCTGTCCTATAGGGTTACTATGGGTCAGAATCGACTCAACAGCAACAGGTATACGGGTATATATTATTGTAATATGTCACAAGTACTTTTTGGAATGAAGCAGGGAATTAATAAACAAACAACAAATAAATGATAATCATATCAACATGGAAACCAAAGAAAAGCTTAAAAAAATTTTTTTTGTAATACAGCACCCATTAAACCCTTTCTGTACTTAAGCGCTTTCTTTTCCTTATTAGAAAACTATACCCAGAACCCTCTATCAGATAGAGTATAATTCTGGCAGGAAGGCTACCCACCAGCATAACAGAGAAAATAAAATTCCAAGATGTGTATTGTGATATTATTAAATACTTACAAGATTTACATCAGCAGTTTGGTGACATGGGTGTGAATGATGAGTAGCTCCTATAGAAAAAAACGTCGATAAAGTTCAAGTAAAAGCCTAGGAGAAAAACATTTATTTCTAATTTGTTTGAAGATCTCTTATTCTTGGCTGAAAACAATGCAAGTCATTTTACATAGGAAACCAAGGTGATCAATTCTCACTGTAGATAAATGCATACACAAACTAAAATTCTGGAGATGAAGCACTAAAAGCCATGAATGTCTAATCCTCCTGCTTAATGTTCAAATACCCTCTGTACAAAAATAAATATTAAATCAAATCAATCATAAAGTCACCAGTATATAAATATTACTGCAAAAATATTTATTGCATAATTCTATCAAAAGGATGAGGTCTTTATTAATAAATTAGAGCATATTTCTGACAGTCTTTTGAAAAACGATCATTTATAAAATTTTACCAGATCACTGTTATTGCTTTATCTTTCCACATTTTCCAGTAAGAAAACTATGGTTAATATGTTAGCATGCCTACTTGCTATTAGCTTAAGACTGATTCATTTCAAGGCATCAACTTCTAGAGCCGTTAAAATGCCTACTTTACCTTCTTTATCTTTTTTGTAACAATCCCTCTGTTATTCACAGGGCTGATGTATATTTAGCAGCAAAATCCCTGCTGGGGAAGGAGTTTTCAAATGTTCTTCTGGTCAGATTCCATTTCTTTATTTCAAGGCAAAGAGGATGGAAGTTAGAAGGAAGAAACTGGATTCTGAGTCAAAATATACGAGTTCCAAAGCTGGTTTTGCCTTTTAATGTAACTGTGGCCTTGAGCAGACCATTTAAACTCTTAGTTTTCTCATCTGTAAAATGGGGATATTAATACCAAACAATGAAAATCAAAGCTATCTATGTAGAGTTGAGCGTGTAATAGTAGCATTAGTTCCAAATGGCTTATAACTATACTTACATGAATCATCTCCCCACTTTTCTCTAAAATATTAATGAAGGCAGAAAAAGATTAAGTCACTTTACTATACACTATGACCAACAGACAGCCTAATAGTAGAATTTGGGAGGAACTGACACAATAAAATGCAGAAGGAAACAGAGACCATCCTATAGAGATTTCTGTTGATGGCATATCCAGATTCCACTTCATAAAAGAGAGCCTGCCCAAAAAAGGAGTAAGACGGAACTCTGTACTTCCTTTTATACTTGTACATTGACACAAACACCCATGGCCTTTACCAATTAGAAACATGAGTTGCTGTTGTTGTTAGGTGCCATTGAGTCACTTCCGACTCATAGCGACCCTATGTACGAAAAAACACTGCCTGATCCTGTGTCGTCTTTACAATCGTTGCTGTTTGAGTCCATTGTTGCAGCCACTGTGGTCAATCCATCCCATTGAGGGTCTTCCTCTTTTTCACTGACACTCTTCTTTACAAAGCATGATGTCCTTCTCTAGGGACTTGTCCCTCCTGATAACATGTCCAAAGTATGTGAGATGAAGTCTCGCCATCCTCACCTCTAAAGAGCATTCTGGCTCTACTTCTTCCAAGACAGATTTGTTTGCTCTTCTAGCAGTCCGTGGTATATTCAATATTCTTCGTCAACACCATAATTCAAGGTGTCAATTCTTCTTTGGTCTTCTTTATTCATTGTCCAGCTTTTGCATGCATATGAGGCAATTGAAAATAACATGGCTTGGGTCAGGGCCACGTTAGCCCTCAAGGTGACATCTTTCCTTTTTAGCACTTTAAAGAGGCCTTTTGCAGCAGATTTGCCCAATGCAATATGTTGTTGGATTTCTTGGCAGCTGCTTCCATGGATGTTGATTGTGGATCCAAGTAAAATGAAATCCTTGGACTTCTTGGCAACATGGTGCTACAGACAGAAGCACCATGCCGTCCTGCCATAGCAAAGACCAAAAAGCTAAGG